AATTCTTGTGGAGTTAATTCTTTTAGTTGTTTGTTTTCTTCTTCTAGTTGCTTAATTCGATCTAATAGTTCCTGTTTTTGTCTTTTATGTCAATCTTAAGCCACTTCTAAGGCTTCCAAGTGTGTATCTACTTCCTCTTTAACTGCCTTTCCTTTTCTTGCAAGCCATTTATTTGCTGTTCATAAAAAAGTGCCATTCCTCCGTTTTGATGAGGTAAAAGAGGAAGTTCTTTTTCATTTTCCTCTTCTTTGCAATCACAAGTATAACTAGTCTTTAACCTTCCACAATCACACTCAGGCAATTTATCATTTTCAAACTTCTCTTACAGTTTTCACAAGCCTTATCACCTTCAACCATTTCACCAGTCACTTTGCTTCGTGTTCTGATTTGACAAACTGCTTTTTTCAAACCAGGGCAGAAAACACAATTAGAATTACTGCTGTGTCATTCTTCTAAATCTAAGATTGTGTAAAGCAGTTCTCTCATGACTACTTAACTAGAACTTCTATTTTAGCGACAATTGCTTGACTGTGAAACTTCTCTCTTTTGATTAATTTCTGCAACTGCTGAACCTTGGCTTTTGTTTTTGTTTTTAATTGCTTGAAAATGCTTTGCTTATTTAAAGTCCTACTTTCTACTTCTTTAGGAAGAGAGGGTAAGGGTTTTCTTTCCAAATATAGTTGTGTTTTTAATTCTTCTCTTTCTTTTGCTTCATCCTCAAATCTCTGATCATTCTTTCTTAACATTTCTAATTTTTGGGCTAATTCTTCTTGCAACTTTGCATTCTTTGTTATTTCCTCTTCAAGCATTTTATCAGACTTTTGGAGCATTAGTGATTTTTCTTTGATTTCATCATTCAAAAGACCTTTTTGTCAATTTTTCATTCTTCAGCTGTATCTAATGCCTCAGAAAAGTCTTTAGCATCCTTTTCCCATTTTTCAATAACTTCAATAGCAACTTCAACTGGTTTATCTTCATTTTCATTTATTAACTCTTTTAAATCTTCTTTGTGCCAATAATCTAATCATTTTTTTCTTCTTGTTGCTCTTCCTTAAGGTAAGTATTGAGAGTTTTAGCCATATTTTCTTTTAAATTTTCAACCTGTCCTTTAAAAGGAGTTAATTCAGCAACTTTTTTTTCTAAAAGAGCATTCTTTTCTTTTAATTTTTCATTTTTTTTTTGATAAATATAACTATAAGAATCACAATTAAGTAATGTTCATTCACTAAAGCCTTTAACCACATTTTCAAGAGTGAAATTGTTGCCAAAAATAACTTTCTCAACTCCATTTTCTTTTTGAATCTTTACTCAACCATCCTTAGGTCAAAAATGTTTTTCTAAGGTCATTAAAGTTCCAGCAATTTCTGGACTTTCATTTTCCTTAACATTGTCAATAGCATTTCAAATTCTTA